TTGGAATTTTTAGGGATCCAACTATTCGTAACGATTGCCACAGATGTTCATATGGCAACCGTGACCGACGGCTAAACGTGCTCTCCGAGATACAGAGGGGTCTCGTTGTGTAAAGATTGGTCACCCATTCATAGACTGACCTGCCTAGGATTCCTTAACTTTCCAATGTGTTAACCTACTAGGTTACCACTAAGTCACGAGCCCCACGAGTTACGAATATTTAATTATAACTTGACTGCCTCGGTGGCGCAGAGGTACTGTATGCGACTGCTGTTCTGAGGTCTTGGGTTCGATTCCCGGGTCGGAACAAATGTCTGTATGGTCTGCAAATATTTGTTTCGGAGTTTTAGTGTTTTCTATGTATAATATTTATGTTTTACAAAAAAAAAAGGTATATAAGTATTCTATCAGTCAATCTAGCTCTCATAATACAAGCTCTGGTTAGTTTGAAACTAGATGGCGTTGTGTGTAAGATGTCCGAAATATTATTATATTATTACATATTTGTTTTTTATGGTATTGGAAGGGGAAGATAAAAGGGCTTAGGTTAGGCCCACTACTTGCTATTCTGCGAATTATCGGTTCAGCACTTGGCGAGTCATGTCTGGTCGTGATCTAACGTATGAAATATAATGAAACCACAGAGAATATAAACAGAGGTGTTTAAAATAAGAAAAAAAGGATTTGAAAATACAAAAGTTATCTGCAAAGTGGTGAAAGTCAAATATACGTTGTCTTTAACGATTCCCGTTTCTTGACTGAAATCAAATTCTTAAAAAAACCCACTATACATAAAATATTTTAACTGCATTACTCTTAAGGTTCGTAGATGATAAGTAAAACAAAAACACGTTTAAAAAAAGAAATTATCAAAGAGATACTCTTCAGTTTGTATTAACATTTTTTCCTAAACATTATGAAATATACTATCAAAAACCAGTCACAAATCAGTCATTTGGCAACATACCCCCTATTTTTGGTACCTCTGACAAAGTTTGTGCATAATTTAATTATGATTGATGATGATAAATGATTGAGTAATTTAAACATTAAAGAGAACAAACAAACTCACTTCATCATCATCAACAGCCTATACTAGTCCACTGCTGGAGATAGGCCTCTCCTTAGAAAGGAGGTTTTGGCCTACTATACCACGCTGGCCAGAGGGGTTGGTATAGGGTTTGTTTCAAGTTTTCCTTCTCTTTGCAGTGCTGTTGTTCTGCTTAGTTTGCTCCCTTAGTCGGCTCTTACGACACCCACGGGAAGAATTGGGGTGGTGACAATTTGTATTCTTAATCCGTCACCACACGGACAAAACTCACTTACAAACGCATTTTAAATATAAGTTTTATTAAAATTACACCTTCACAAAACAAGGACGTGAGTTTCAAAAAACTTTTGCAAACAAATAATTCGTTGTAAGATATTTAAATATTTACAGCGGTAAAAGGAAGGAAGTTTTTAATAATAATTTAGTATTGTCGGGCTTGCTCGCTTCGACGGTCAACACTTTACCCCTCAGTATCACAGGCACGTGTTTTATCCCCGAAGGGGTAGCTGTATATACCACGTACACGATTGCGTTAATACCCCTTAACACAGGCCTAGTAATGCACACGGGAATGACGCCGCAGATGAGCTGGCAACTCCGGCCACCGGCCCAACCATCAGGAGTATGGTCGGCCACTGCCTTTCAACCAACTTCGATCCTGGGCTAGACAACGTACTCGTGAAGCACACAACCGGAGGTGAAAAAACTCACCCGGCTGCAGACAGTCAAACTCAAACTTTGACTGCACGGATGGCGTAGTGGTTTAAGCGGTCGCCACGCCGCTTCCTACTACGAGGAGTGTTGTGGGTTCAAACCCCACATGGGACGACACTTTGTGTGATCCAAAAATTGTTGTTCTGAGTCTGGGTTTTCTTTGTGTCCGTTTCATGTATGTTTGTAAAGTCCCCCGCGACACAGGATTTATTCCTAATGCGGGAGTTGTCTTTTTAAACAACAACAACAACAAAAAAAAAACTCAAATTGTTTGAAATCGTCTTTTATGTAGAGTCTAAAGTCATAGATCAACACACCAAAGCAACAATCTCTGTTTTGTCAAATAGTAAGCAAATAAATTTAACAAAAATCAAACCCATACAATATCTATGATATGCCTGTGCCGATCTACAGCCGCTCGTTTCCAAGGTGTTGAGCCTTATGAGAAGAAATGGCAAATAAACTCATCGTCAAGTCCAAACTAGTGCCAACTGAAGTCTCACCGCGATTTACTCGCAGACTGGTCAGTCTTAGCAGACTAGAATCCGTTATCCGAATAGTTGTAGGAACCATAACAGGACACCTAGCCCTGAACCGAAAACTGTTCACCATTAATGTGACGGTCAGCCCTCTTTGCAGAGGATACCTGAAAGTAGAAGAAACATACGTCCACGTAATCCTGGAATGCGAGGGAGTGTCCACACAACGGGCAAGTATCATACCAGATACAAAATCACTCCTAGAAGCGTGTGTACGCCCTAGAAGGCTTCTGCCCTTCTGGAAGGAGTGGTTGGCTCACCTAACCAACCTTTCCACCAAAGGACCATTCTTGAGTCTAAATGCGGCAATCGGAGCCCACTTCCACAACCAATACTAATACCCCTTAACACATGCCTCACATACACTCACGTCTTTTATCCCCGTAAGGGGTATATACAGGGGGAGTTACAGATGGATTGCGATCATGATCTGACTGACTGACTGTGGGTCCGATCCCTGCATGGGACGACACTTTGTGTGATGCACAAATTGTTGTTCTGAGTCTGGGTGTTCTTGTGTCCGTTTCATTAATGTTTGTAAAGTCCCCGGCGACACATAAATATATTCCTATTGCGGGAGTTGTCTGCAGATTCTGTATTATGGTAATCAAACTGCTCAGAACATATCCCATTAATATTATAACATGAAAGTTTGTGAGAATGGATGTTTGTTCCTGCTTACGCCAGAATGACTGAACTAATCTGGAGGAAATTTGTCACAGAGATAGAGTCTAATCTAGAATATGACATGGTTTCCTTTTTATCAAAGAACTAGCTGAAATTTTCTCCGTTTTTGAAACATTCTTCATTGGTGCTCCGCTCCTATTGGTCTTAGCGTGATGATATATAGCCTATAGCCTTCCTCGATAAATGGGCTATCTAACACTGAAATAATTTTTCAAATCGGACCAGTAGTTCCTGAGATTAGCGCGTTCAAACAAACAAACTCTTCAGCTTTATAATATTAGTATAGATTTAACGTGAAGTTTAGATTGAAGCCGCGGTTAAAATAACACCCAGATACAGAATAATGATCATGTACATTACACAATCATAATTTCTAAAGTGGAATCAAACCCATGAGCTCTGGCGATCGCTTGAGACACGTTCACTAACCACTAAACCATCAGACAACAATTCATAACGCACAATATCTCGCTCTTTCTGTCTCTAGAACAATGACGGTCACGATATAAGCACAAGATAACAATTTCTCTGTAATAATTAATTTCTAGAATAAATTTAAGCGACTTATTTAATTATTTTACTTCCACTTTTTAACATTAAAATGTAACTATAATTTCGTTTTTGTTCATTTAAATGTAATATCAAGTCATCATCATTGTACACAGTCATATGAATTTTTAAGTAGCCATGTTCATATACATAAAGCCACTTGACTGATTCATCAAAGCAGATCCTAAACAGCTGGGGCTAAAAACTTAAAATTTCGTCAGCTGATGCGTTGTAAACCTCCTCTAAGGGCTTTTGAAAATTTCACCCCTTAGGGGATAAAATAAGTCATTCAAATTATATATTTTCTATAAATAAGGTGGTACATATTGCGGTATTAAAGGTTTAATATAATGCGAACAGGCCCATTTAATCTTGAAAAAAGTATGCAAATTTAACATTTCATTTAAAAAAACCTATGTATTAGATATATTATTGTCATTTTGTGTATTGATTATAATTTAACTTTTATTAATTATACCTATTACTCTCCACCTTTCAAAAATAAAATGTATTCGTAATTAAACAATCTTTGAAGGCTGGGACAAACTTATTTAAGGGTAGTTCTTTGAATAGTTCTGGAATTGTATTGAAGGCTTTAACGCACATCCCGTAACTATTTCTTTTTAAATTTTGTCGACCAAGGTACCGTGTTCAACACAAGTCTATTTGGATTTCTAATGTTGTTCTTTATGGTGACATACTTTACTTGCTTAAATGTTTGAGGGTGCTGTTTTATGAATTTGCATACCTCGAGGATGTACAAGCACGGTAACGTAAGATTCTTTAGTTTTTTTTAATATGGCCGACAAGATACGTTCGGAGCGATATCACATTTGAGTGAGTAGTGTTCAATTAAAATTGGATTTATCAAGAAGTGAAGTGATGAGGCATATTCGAAATAGACACAGAAGTATAAATGTATTTGTTTACCTAGCCGTGCCCCGCTCTTTTACCCGCCGCGTTCATAGTTACTGCTCATCTCTTAGGAGCCGTAGTGTGATGTTTTGTAGCCCATATTATTATTTAATAAATAGTCTATCAAAACATAAAATAATAATACAAATCTGACTTTTAGTTTATGATTATTATCAGGTTAAGCTAGTAAATAAACGAAAAAACTAATTACTAAAATGTAAAATAAACTAAAAATATAATAGTTTGTTCAAAAGTATTTTCTTCTCTTAGAAATATTTTGTTATGAATATAAAACCTCCATGAATTTTTGTACCTATACAAAAATAGTCTAGTCCTGTGATTATTATTTTTTTTGCCTTATTTGAGAGTCCGGGTAGGTACGTCTTTCAACAATATTACAGTTCACAGGAGAAAGTAAATATCTAATCGCTAAATATGGACCAAAAATAAATAAATTGAAAAACAATTTTAAGGCCTTCAAATTCCTTTCACATTTTAAAATTATGGAACAAAATACCAGAAAAAGAAACAAATAAAAAAGATACTCACGGTTTAGCCGCAACTTCTTTAGCCTTCACATCACCTAGAACCCTAAACGCCTCATCACCATCCCGAGGAGTAGACACAAGCACATCAGAACACACTTTAACACCACAAGGACTCTCCGATTGTCTCCCGGAAAGATCAAAATATCGATCCTGAGCATGGATCAGTTGCGTCACTGTAAACGCTGGAGTATCTTTATCAGTCACTTTAAAATCGATTTGCGGTCCGAATAACGATTCATCGTACTCTAAACTTAATTTTCTTTTAAAAAATCTATCGTCTTCAATGTCCTTCGAAGGAGAAATGTGGTCTAAACGCGATTGTATAGTAATATCTAATTTGTTCGCGCTGTTCAGACGGAGCGAGCGCTCCGTGGTGAATGCGTAAGGCGTATTGGCCAGTTCTTCTTCAATACTGTTGTAACGGCTACGAAAGAGTGAGCGAGGTGTCTCCCCACCAGAGTCCACGTCGTATTTCCCACCAAAAAGGTCGTACTGTGCGAATCTGTTGTTTATGGTGTCGAATTTTGGGTCTGCAATGTCTTTGTCTGGTTCCTTGGGACTGGCTGTGGGACTCATATTGATGTGGACTACGCCGTGTTCGTCTTTGTATTTTAGCTTGAGCGCCATTTTGTTTTAGCTTAACATTTTCGTCTGAAACAATGAAAGGTTTTGAGTTAACTATAGATACAATTTAATCTATAAGAATATTATCTATACTAAAATACACCTTAACATTAAGTTATTTATAATACCTGTATAAAAAAAGAAAAAAACAGTTTTGATGCACAATAATATTAAGAATATGTGGTGTGTCGATATAAAATGTCACATGTTATAACTATATTAATGTACCTATTAATTATTTTTTATAATTCTTGCATTTAATAATATATGCATATATATTTTTCTGTGGTGACGGATTAAAAATAGTGTCACTACTTCTATTCACCCGTGGGTATTGTAAGAGCCGACTAAGAGAGCAAACTGCGCAGGACAACAGCACTGCAAAAAGAAGGAAATCTTGAAACAATCCCTAAACCAACCCGCCTGGCCAGCGTTAAGAAGGACGAAAATACGATACATTTTACGATGAAAGTGCTTAGATCTTTTTTAAAGTACATTAAAAGACCTTTATAATGCGTTTTTATAAAGGCCTCTGACCTAAAAACTAAAACCCTTCCCATTACTACCCTAATTGGAATTAAATGTTACATATTTAAAAATTAGTTTATTTGAACATTAAAAATATGAAAACAAAGTTTTTTTTTATTGCAATCAATTATTTGAGATATTCAGGAATTGTTGTGTGTGTGTTGATATGATTTATACGGATTTTGTCTATTAACTCATCCGTTGCTCTTTATTTCTTAACCATGTGAGGTCTTACTTTGGAAAAAAAATGCGTTCAAAGTGGAATAGATATTTTTCAAGCGTTTCCAAAAAAATTCTTTTTCAGAAATAACTCAGAAAATAAACCATATTATACGTAAAAATTGCTAGATAGTAGGCCAAAACCTCCTTTCTGAGGAGAGGCCTATGTTCAGCAGTGGACTGTTAAGGGCTGTTGATGATACGTAAAAATTGGTCGAGTACAAAATTTTTGCATTGTCATTAACAAAAGAATTGTTTTTTTAACTGTAGCTCAAAAATTATTCGAGATATGGCTTGTCAAAGTTAGCATTAGTATGAAATCAGTACCGCTCTTGAGTCCTTTCATGGTTGACATTTATAAAATTAAGGGTTTGAGAAATATATATAACTTACATGCGCTTATAGGCTATGAAATTCCCTACCAAATGGTTTTTCTTTTATATCTCTAGTCCATAATGTAATCAAGAAAATATCAAAAAACCAAACGCATATTTTTTTTTTATTTTGGAGCAAAGAAATGCGTATATTATGGATAGTGATCTCATCATTAGTACTTGGGTGTCAGGGGTCTTGTGTGTGTGTGTGTGTGTGTGTGTGTGTGTGTGTGTGTGTGTGTATGTATATGTGTGTAATATAATACACACATGTATTATATATATGTGGCGTCAAATTATTATCGCTTGTTCCTATAGTAGATGCTCTAAATTAGCATGATGATCTGCAGATTCAAGTTTGGCTGAGAAATAAAAATATGAAACAAACTGATTGGGGGTTGATAAAAATATAAGGGTCCTTAAAACCTACAGTAATTTAGAATACTCTATCACCACTAGAACTTTTAAAAATGCAAAAAAAAGGTGCGGTGCATCTTGTAGCTGTGGCAAAGTTAGACTTATCTACAACTCAAGTTGTGGTTAAAACTGTCAGAATATCGCTCCAATTACAGACTAAGACGACAAAGAAGACATTGATGAAGACATAATGATGATAATATACTCGTATTATGATAATATTTATTTTTTTAATTAAATAAACTATAATAAACAAGTAGAAGACATGTTTTTGTAATTTATTTAGTTGTTATATTGGTTATGTGTATCATTTTTTGGTAATCCCAATAAATAAATAAAATAAAATGGATCATATAAAGTATAAAGTTCTTCCAAGACCGTTGGGTTCTAGGAAGAACTTTAATTTAAGCACGAATTAGGTAATTCTTTTTTTTCCTTTATGGAAGAGGGGGCTAACGGGCAGACGGGTCATCTGATGGAAAGTGACTAGCGTCGACCGTGAATGACTCTTTTCTTGAAGATTTAAAGTTGGTATATTTTTTAAAATATACAACTCCCGCACTAGGAATAAATCCTGTGTCCCGGGGGACTTTACAAACATACATGAAATGGACACCAAAAACACCCAGACTCAGAACAACAATTTGTGAATCATACAAAGTGTCGTCCCACGTGGGGATCGGACCCACAGCACTCAGCGTGGTAGTGTGATATTATTTAATACCACTTTATTAATTTTTGGTCTTTTCGCTTATTATTGTGTACAAATGTGAATAATAATAGGTTAACACACTATGTACATAATATTTTACGTGTCTCGGTATAAAGCTTGGACGTACTTAAAGCTATGTTCATAATTATATTATAAATGTGAAAGGGGTCATTTCGTGTGGTGATGGATTAAAAATACGGTGTACCACCACCCTGGATGTCGTAAGAGCCGACTAAGGGAGTAAACTACTACAGTAAACTACTACTCAGGACACCAGCACTGCAAAAGCTAAGGAAAACTTTAGACCAACCTGTCTGGCCAGCCTGGTATGGTAGACCAAAACCTCCTTTTTAAGGAAAGGTCTGTGTCCAGCAGTGGACCATTAGAGGCTGTTGATGATGATGATAAAAAAGTGAGTTTGTCTGTTTGTTGGTTTGTTATGCTTTCGCGCCTAAACCACTAAACTGATTTTGTAAATTCAGACACCAATGGAAAGCTACATTATCAGCGAGTAGCATAGGCATAGGCATATCGCGTCACCACGACGGGCATTCTACCAGCGTGATGAGCGCTGTGTCTGCGGTCTAGCTATCAGCTAGCCAGCCTTGCGGATCAGACACAGGTGATCTTTGAAGCATACCTGCCCGGTAATCACAGGCGTCTTCATCCTTATGAGAGGGTCCCGTGTTGCCTTTCGAGCCAATCCTCCGTAACGGGTCTTATCGCCGCAATGACCGCGTGCCTGTTGCTTATAATATACCCTCAATTATCTCGATTCACAGTCAAAACGACGACGACCTGGTAAAGGTTGCCGGAAACCGCTGGCAATCTTTGGGAGAGGCCTATGTCCAGCAGTGGACAAGCATAGGCTGAGGTGATTACAGTCAAAACAAATAACATTCTTCTCCTATGTCCTACACACAATTCTTTACTTTTCCTTCCAGTCCACTCACACAAAATTCAGGAAGAGTAAAACAAATAATTAGTGAAAAAGTCTAATATCTACTCCGAGGTACACAAAGAAAAAGAGCTGTAGATCACAGTGGACTAATTAAAACTGTATTTTATTTACATCAATACAACGGAGTTACATGCTTAGAGAATTTTAGGCCATGGTCTGACAATCACATAGTACCAGACTTTTATTCTGTATGTGAATGTGAACAGACAACCATCTCAGAGAAATGCTGTATGCCTCTTGCCTATCGCGGACTTGTTTTCGAATAAAACCTATACGGAAGCGTTCTGAAGTATGAAAAAACTTTCTTGGCAGTTAATACACAAAGTGTGCCATTTATATTTAAATAATATCATTAATTGTATTAATGGTATTTTAAATTGTATGTACTTCTAAGAATCGACGTTCTATCTAAATTATGTATTAAAAACAAACAAGTATTGCAGTATTCGCATATGATACGTAAGATTTGACATCCCACCTTAGCAACAACAAATATTAAAATTGTATACTGAATTTAATGATCAAGGTAGTACTTAAACAGTCTTTGTAATGAAAATTGTACACTTATAATAGAAAAGTAACTTTAAAAAAACAATCTTCTTAAACCGAGAAGTGCTTTTACTATTTTGCATTGGAAATTTTTATTTAAACTCACTAAAACAACCAGGGCCCATTTAGCAAAGGACAGGAATACGTAGAAATCTTAGGAGGATGCCTTTGTCGGCAGACAAGCTGTTACAAACAAACAGTCAGTCGACAATAGCATTAAATAGCTCTCGCTTCGCCGTTACCTCGCTATCGCTACACCAACTACTCAAACACTTATGAATAAAATATTTATTTGTATTGTAGTATTATTTCGAGCCACGTACTGTACGGTCACGCATACTTTTTTTACATTTATTTACTACACGTTTCTGATATGCATTGAGAATTAATCGTTGACCTATATATAGACGTCGTTGAAACAGCAAATTACATATATTAATATTAAAAATACGTGTTAGAGAATTTAAAATATGTACCTATGTTTCTGTATATACTAGACTGATTTATTGGTATAGTTTAAAACCAGGTCAAATAATTTTGTAATGAACACGATCATTGATTATGCCATCATCATCATCATCAACAGCCTTTAATAGTCCACTGCTGGACATCAGCCTCTCCTTAGAAAGGAGGTTTTGGCCTACTATACCACGCTGGCCAGACGGGTTGGTATAGGGTTTGTGTCAAGTTTTTCTTCTATGATTATGTATCTGGATTTAATTAATCTAAAACATTTATGCATTTAGAAATATGTCTATCCGTGTAGTCATCACCCCTATTCATCCCGTGAGTATCGTAAGATCCGATTTAGGGACCAAACTACGCAGCACAACAGCACTGTAAAGAGAAGGACAACTTGTAACTGACCCTATATAAACCCGTCTGGCCAGCGTGGTATGGTAGGCCAAAACCTTTCTAAGGAGTGGCCTACGAGTATGTCCAGCAGTGGACCATTAGAGTCTGATGATGATGATGTTGATTTAGAAATATATATCGCAAAAACCGTGGGAGAGCCAAGTTTCGCCACAATTGGGCCGGTTCGACAGGAGTGATACAGCAGCTGCACAGAAAACCGGAGTTAAGTACCAAACGCCCGAGTGGGAAAGGGAGAGATTTAGAATTCTCTTGGTCCGTCAGGTCCGGGAACGGGCCAGGTACCGCAGGAGACTCAGGCGCCAGTCAGTCAGTCTGTAAAAGGGAAATACCGTAGTTCCCACACACGAGGGGGTCATCTCCAAGCCGT